ATGGCGCCTGCGGCGGTTTCCGGGGTTTAAATGCCCTCGGTCCCGCCCCGCGCAGCCGCCCTGGAGCCCCGCGCACCTGTGGCCCTGCCCTGCTCGCACCTGTGCCGGCTTCGCGCCGCGCACGCGCTCTGTTGTCCCGCGCTGCGCACGCGCCCCGTGGCCCCGCCCCTCTCACCTGTGCCGGCCCCGCCCCTTCACCCGCGCTCCGTGTCCGCCAGAGGGCGCCATGCGGGTCCCTGTCCCACACGGGGCTCGGTGTCCGCCAGAGAGCGCCATGCGGGTCCCGGTCCCACTCGGAGTCTCCGTGTCCGAACCTGGAACCGCCGCGCTCCCGCACCGGTAACGCTCGCCCGCGGCGATTCGGGCCCCGTACCGATCACGGTACCGATCCCTGTTCCTGATGCCGATTCGATCCTCCCGATGGGGAAGTGGCGGCACCACCCGGGACCCCCGCAGCCCTCGGTCCCCGCAGCCTCGGCCCCAGTCTCGGCTCCCGGCAAGACCTCCCGTGCTCGGTGCGGTCCCCACGTGGGCAGGGCCGGCACTGCAGCCCCGGAGCGCGCTGTCCCCCCGGGACTCCTCGCTTCGCCACCATCGAGAACACTGCCCGGCCGCGGAGAGCATCTCCCGCCTCTCCGTCTCTCCTTCCCCCGGGGCCGCTGCTCCCTGGGGTCCCCGCCCCTCGCGCCCCTGTGGAACCAGCAGGGCTGGATCACCGTGAGCAGTAGGAGCCGCTCCGGGGCTCCCCCAGGACCTTCCTCTCCATGTTCTTCACCTGCTGCGTTTTTCCCATGTCCATTGCCTGCTCCCTGAAATGGGTGAGACCTGTCAGACCGCTGGGCTCATTTACATCTCCGGTCCCCAGCAAGTTGGGTGAGCACTCCATTCATAGTACTTGCTCCAAAGCTTCCAGAGGCACCAGACCTTACCGACAAGTCAGCCTTGAGTGGCAAGGAAGTGGCTCTCCCTGCCACCAAATGAGTGGTACCGCCCTTCTCCTTGTTACAATCCCAGAATAGAACCATTTAGATTGGAAAAGACCTCTCAGGTTGATCACGGTCAGTTCCTGACCCTTCCTTCCCCTTGGCTTGGCGGTTGAGATGATCTTGAGTTTCCTCGGGGTACTGAGCTCAGGGGCTGCGCAGATGCCAAAAGCAGCCCACAGCCCAGTACTGCCCCAAGGTGCCTTCACCTCCAGGTGCCGCCCTCTGGTCAGGCCCTGCTTTTCCAGATGAGCTCCGAGGGGTGTGCAAGCAGGGATCCCACCTGCAGGGCCAGGGGCCCAGAGGGGAGTGGCTGCTGGGGGTCCAGGGGACACATCAGTATGTGCACTCCTAACTCCGGTGGAGCCCAGAGGGTTGCTGTTTCCTTAAGTCCTTCAGTGGTTATTCCTGGCTAAGGAACATGTTCAGAAAGCCAACTTGATCGTGCTAAGTTTCAGCCCAGAAACCAGAGGTTTTGTGGAGAAGCCCAGGCACACCGGCCTCATCCTCACTGTGTCCAGCAACAGGAGTCGGACAGAGATGCTGTGCCACCCTCAGACCTCCCGGCTGCTCTTCACATCCCATCACTCCCCTAGGTATCCCAAAATATGCCTCAGGGGGTCCTACACTAAGGTGTGGGGGAGCCCCTTGTATCAGCACACTGATTCTGGGATCTTGATTCAATCAGACAAGACCTGGCACATAATGAGGGAAGACAGACACAAACTCTTCCATAAATGCATAAAGTTACTTTATTTTCAGTATACATTTATTTAATTTTGAAAAATATAAATGCTAAAATATCTCATCGTCTTCATCTTTTGATTCCATAAAAGTCACAATAGAAAGCTTCATAAAACTGTAAAATACTATAATGTTATAAGGAATTTCATGTTTTATATTACTGGAAAAAAAAATCATTTTAATAATGTTTGAAATGTTTTCTGCTTTTTTCCTTTTAGTTCCACCAGCTGATCCTCTTCATTTGATCCTAAGTCCTTTTTCTCTCCTCCAAAGCAAACACGGACTTACGAGAATTAAAACCAATAACAAAAGTATCTGAAAGTGCGACTTGATTCAATGCAGATACAAAGGTCTGTGAGCCCCGGGCAGGGCAGCGCAGGCCGGCGGCCGCGGCGCTGCCGGAGCTGGGACAGAGCGGGCTGTGGCCAGGGCGTGTCCCACCGTGAGCTGGGACCTTGCATCTGCTGGGGGAAGGCGATTTTTGACGGCTGCCTGTGGTCCTGGAGGGCTTTGGGTCAGTCTCCACACTTATTCCCTGAAGCGCCCACCCAGGCTTTTCCAACAAAACACCTAATTTAGATTGAAAGGACGTTTCAGTTCTTTTCAAAGGCATACGGCGTGCAGAGAACCCGTCCCTGTCATGCTGCAGGCTCTTCCCTGCTGCCAGAGGTGGCTGTTTCTCCTGGAAAGCTGCAGAACCCTCTGTCCTGTTGGCAGCGCTGCCCTCAGCACAACACAAAAAACACAACACAAATAGAGAGAAAGATCTAGAACAGCACTCAGGACACTTCAAGTGTGTTTAGAAGAAGTGAAGACCTCATTTTTGGGGAGACAGGTCACCAGGGACTAGCAGATGGAAGCTGTGCCCATGGGGGACAGCCCCTGCGATCCACCTTTCCTCTGGGATTGCTGCACGTCCATGCTCTGGGCAGGGTGTGCAGCAATTCCACAAGCAGCTCCTGTGTACCCCACAGGCAATGCTCGAGCCTGTGTCCCCACTGGTGCTCACCAAGGGATGGAGAGCATTGGCTAAAGCTGGCATCACACTTCCCAAGTTACCTGTCCTCTGGCAGCAGAAGGGATCCCAGAGCTGCTCCTCTTCAGGCCTTTCCCAAGTCTCCCCAGCATTTTGAGAGCAGGTTTCAGCCAGGTTCCTGGGATACCCAACACAGATTTCATGGAAACTGAAGGGCAGACCCCTGGAGAGCGAACAGGGGCTGTACAGAGGTGGTGGCTCCTGTGTGGGAGCAGTCGCTAAAATTTGGCATTTAAGGTCTCAGCACCATCAGAAAATCTTCTTGACTTCATCAACCCAGACTTTGGTTTCACAAAGACCAAGTGGCAGCATGTGCCCATCCTCTGTGATGGAATTGTCTCCATTGGGAAATTTGCCTTGAGAGCTGGGGTACTTTTTCTTCTTGTTTTGTTTTTCATTTTTGGATGAAGCTTTTAGTGTGTTCCCCCATGTCCTGGTGAAGCCCAGTTTCCCAGATGCGTGTTTAGACACACATACCAGTATAAACATGCTACAGGAGAGAGATGTTCACTCGCTTGGTTCCACCCCAAAATCCTGGGATGCCCATGCCTGGCCTGCTTAGTCCTGCTGCACTGCCGGGGCTGGGGCTGAGTAGCTGAGGTTTAGGGTAAATTCTGCACACGACGGCAGACAGGGATGGGATGCAGGAGGATGTGGAAGTTTGCGAATCCAAGTGTCGGGATGAACGTCCCAGCTGGCCACCTTCATCTTCCTCCTCGTCCACTGTGCCTGAGGCACACCTGGGGTCTTCTCACTGCACACACCCACGGGTGTTCCAGGAAAATCACGGAGCCATCCCACGTCAGCGATCAACAACGCGGATACAAGCAGCATCCGTCTGCAGCGTTGGACCAACAACCCCTTTAAGACTCTTCTAAGATCACAAGAGATTTAAGTCTCCTTCACAGCAGGGATTGCTCATTAAAAAATACTTTAAAAACCAACATAACCCTAAGAAAAACAGATGCTTTGGAGCAGAAGGGGTTAATTGAACTGATCCAGACCTATGCCACGTCCTGGAGATTGTGGTATGATGTCATGGTTTTTTTTTTTTTGTAAAAATCACATTATATATGGTACAATACATTTTTTACAGAAAGCCTGGCATCTAGAAATAAGAGGTAGAACTACTCATAACTATATGTTTCCTGCTGCAGGAAAAAAATTCATTTTTCTTTACAGTAATTAAAAAAAGGTTAAAAAATTGTCAAAAAGAAAGAAAAAAAAAAAAAGAAAAAGTCGTAGGTTAGGCCCCCATAATTTAAACAAAATAATCTAGGAAAATAACACTCTTCCATGTACCTGACGGATTAAGTCCATTAAAGTGTTTCTTTAAAAAAAAAAATTGCATAGGAAAGGGACATTTCCAAACATGCTACAGCGATGGCAATGGTCTGTCTGTGCTGGGAGTGAAGTACCTTCTCTTTTACCTACAGGTGAGAGCACGTGAGGGTTAGCAGCACGTTCCAGCATCTCCGAGCAGTGGGAGCAGACATGGAATTAGCCTGGAGGTCAGCTCTGCTCTGCCAAGCCCCAGCTCACAACAGCCAGTGCCTCTGGCATTGCCACAGGCGTGAGGTGACATCCGTAGCGCTCCTGCCCTCGCTGTGCTTCGGAGCCAGGGGAAGGCAATTCCCAGTCCTGGGCAGGGCCCGCAGGGAGCGGGGGCCGCGGGCAGGGAGGGACAGCGCGGGGGCTCGGTCACCGTCACCGGCGGGAGCAGGGAGCTTCTTAACATTTGGCTACTGACAAAGTGAATTTGGAAAAGATTGGACAGACAGAAAAATTACAAAGTAGTTTCTGTTCCCTTGCTCCTCCAGAAATAACCATTGTCTTCAGGCTCAAGGTCTATTCTAATTTGAGGCACAACTTTTACTGGAGTTCGTGGAGGGCTGCGAAGAAGAAGACAGACAAGGTCAGTGCAGTACGAATGCCAGGCTTTGGGAACAGACAGCTGAATTTAAGGCAAGGCCCACATACAGATCATCTGAACGAGCTGGTCTGAACACTGCTCACAGCAGCAGGCAAAACCACCCATTTCACTGGTTGAGGAGCTCCAAGTATCCAGCCTTGGAGTCTCACAGAATCCTAAAACGTTTGGCTTGGAAGTGACCTGGTTGGAAGAGACATTAAAGCTCATCCAGTCCCATGCCCAGCCATGGGCAGGTACACCTTCCACTCAACCAGGCTGCTCCAAGACCTATCCAACCTGGCCTTGGAGACTTCCAGGGATGGGCATCCTGGTGCTTCACCCCAGGCTGTGACAATACCCCTCAACTGCCATTGCAATAATCCAGGTGTTGCCACTGGGATGAATTTCAGCATCTGTCTAACACCTGTAAGCACAGACACATCTCTGATGTTTCAGAGGAATAAACTTGCCTTGGTCTATATCCCACTCCTGGTGATGGCAGGCCCAAGCTGCCCCCAAAGGACTGGACTCTGAGCAATTATTGCTGCAATTTAAGATTATTATTTACTCTATTTTCCACCACAGATATGGAAAAATGGATTATTTCCCCTTGGCTACAACCCTCTGTGCTCCTCCCAGTAGCTCCAGGTCTTGTGGTCTGATTCCCAAACCAGTCCCCAGGGCTGCAGCCAGGAGGCCACAGTGGAGCCTTCAGGTCTCTCACAGCTTCTCCACTCCCCGTCCCAAGCACTGCCAGGGGCTGGAGTAACTATGGAACCCACTTGTTCATAATCACCTTGGGAAGCAGCAACCCAGTGTAGGGAATGTCCTCCAAGTGTTTTTTAAGAATTCCCTGTAGGAACCTTGTGTTCTGAGGGGGAGCAGAGGTGCATTTCCCAGGTGCTTACCTTGGCATGGCGTGTGATTGAAGGAAGGGAATTGTATCAGCACGATGTGTGGCGTTCAAGGAATGTTGGTGATTTTTCTCCTGGGGAAGAAAGCCCTGCTGTCATTTCTGCAGCACCAACTGTGCCTCAAGCCCTGCCTCAGCTCCTCCAACCCACATCTATGGGCCAAGCTCTTCTCCTGTTAACTGCCACATGGATTTACAGCTTGTTGAGCAAACACTCCATTCCCATCTCTCCTCTGAGCTAAAACCCCTTGGGGTGCCAACAGACCCCGTTTCCCAGGGGTTCCCCCCGGTTTTGGGCTTGACACTTACCTGGGACCTACACCCCTCAGTTACCCCGTGCTCACACTGTCACACCCTCATGGCAGAGCCACCTTTTCCTTAACTATTTGAGCCCTTAGGATGCTGGGAAAAAAGGCATCTGATCCTGAAATCTTGACTAACAATACTGAGGATGCAATTTGTTTTTAGTACATCAGGAATGTACTAAAAACACGGAATGAGGAGGATATGTGGTTGCCTGGGGCTGATTTTGGATGATGTGCTGACATCAGCAAAATATTAAGGATATCCAAATAGCCACAAAAATGTCTCCTTTCCAATGGTTTTGTTTCATAATCCCAATCTCTAAGTGTTTCTGTACCTAAAAGCCACAGGGTAATGCTTAGCATTCCCTGAGGCATCTCTATGCTACCCAAAGGAAAGGGACCTGGCTCCCAGCTCTTAAGCCCTATGGATAATTTAAGGATCTAAAGATTTAGGGGGTTTAGGGGGTTTAGGTCCTGTTCCTAGGAAGCACTATCCTGGCAGTAGCACTACTTTATTACTTGAGTTTGTATTTCTCCCCTCCCACCTCAGAAGAAAAGGGCATATGACACCCTTAGTATGTTAAAAAGTCATCCCAAAGGCAAAACCACCAAGGTCAGCTGTGATTCCTCACTTAAAAGAGGAAAATGTAAAGTGGGAATGACTGAAAATGAAGATGAAATTCATCAGTTACAGCTATTAACATGAGAAATTAAAACAAAAAAGAAGAGCACAAGCCACCTAAGAAGGGAAATATGTTAATGATCTCTGCCTGTGCAGCTTAATGACACAAATAATTAATTACTCTGTTAAATGCCGATTTTTGCAACTGCTTGGCACCTAAGAGAACAAACAGTGACAGGACAGCGCTGCAAATCCAGAACACCAGGCTCAGTGGAAAAAAAAAAATCCCACCATCAGCAGGTTAACACCAAGGGGGAGAGGGAGAAGAGAGGAAGAGAGAGTGGGTGGCCAGGAGACCTGTCAGGAGCTGGAGAAAAGCACTTAAACTGGAGGCACCAGAAGGAACAACATTGATTTTGTAACCAGCAAAGAAAAAAAAAAAGCTCACAAAAGCAAAATCTGTCATAAAGCAGGGGCCTGGAAATTAAAAAGGAGAGGGAAAAAAAAAAGAACAAGATAATACTTCTGAAGTGAAAGGTAAGATTAAAATTTTTTTAAATCACTCTAAATACACATATGTATATTTTTGTAGTGCAAGTCAGAGTCAAGCAGGCATGCAAGAGCTTAGTTCTACTCACTGTCAGCAGGTTTGCTATCACTTAGGAAAGGCTCCTGCTCCATGATGTCCATTGGTATTTTAATACTTGGGACTTTTTCTGAGTAGGGGCAGTCAGACTGTGAAAGAAACGTGTGAAAGGTCTTAGAATATTCCCACTGCTCTCTCTCTTATCATCTCCCACACATTAAAATTATCCTTCACATAGTTCTGTAGGAACAGGTAAAAGAAAAGAAGGAAAAAGAGAAAAGCATCCTTCAGCTTAGCTGCCTGATTGATTCCACTGGTTCCCCACTGCACCCCACTTCCCTTCATATCCTCATGCTCCAAAAATAAAACAGACTGACAGAATCATCTTGTGGAATTATGAATTGTAATAAATCTCTTCCTTCCCCACCCCATCCTCTTAAAAGACACCGCCACATTCTGCCTGGAGTCAGCTGCAGAAAACAGAGATGGAAAATGCATTTGTGGGCAGACACAGCAGGGCACTGGCTGCTGGGAAAGCATCCAAACCCTTTATCCTGCTGGGATTCTTGTAAAAGCCCTTGGCTGTTCCCAGTTGCTCTATAGGGCCCAGCTATGACATGGCAGAGGTTCCTTATATCAGATTGGCTCAGCTCCCTCTTTAATGCAAGTGCAGTCAAACCCAGTCTCAGTTACATCTCTGGTTCATCAGCTCCCGAGCTCTTGGAAGAACTCTGTAACTCTGGCCCAGCCAGAGAAAACAGCAACCAGGTCAGGAGGAGGCACAGGGAAAAGCCAGGGTCCCCCAGGGCTGGGGTACCAGCAGGATTTTACACCCCACTGCCTTCTATCACCCACCTAGCATCTATCTATCATCTGCTTAGTAGGAGGTGCTTGGAATTGCTTTGCTTTTTTAAAAATAAAGGGAACCCCTCATAGCCTAGGAAAGGCTGATACTGCCTAACTTGGCACAGGCAGGAAGGTGGGATTTGCCAGAAATGTTGGGACATCTTTGTTCCTGAAGAGAACTAGACCCACAACACCAGGGTGGAGGGAGAAGACCTTCCAGGCAGGGCAGGAAAACACTAAGGAGGCCAGAGAATGGCTCTCCCTGGATTATTATTCTTATTTTAAATTTATTTTTTAACATAACTGATATCCAGTGCCTTATTTCATACTCCAACAGCACGATGTTTCCTCGGGACTATTTTTACGAGGCTGAGGGACAAGCATAACTCAAAGCACAGGCAACACCCAGCAGTTCCCTTGGCTGAACTCCAATCCACGCACTGCCCTCCAGATCCCACATGATTAACTCTGGGGGGATATTTCTGGAAGGCAAAGTGTGAAAATAATCCAACCAGTAATGCCCAGTACTGTATGTTCAGGAAGCTGGTAAAAGCAAGTGCTGAAAAAAACCAGCAAGAGTTAAAAACCAATATTTTGCATAAAATGTCTTATCCATTAGATTAATTAGTGTACCTGGAATTGAGGAAAAGCCTGGGAAGAGAGGAAATATCATAAAACACACTGGAGAGAGGGAAGGCAAGGCTCGGGATACGACGCTGCTGGATTCACACCAGTCAGGAGGAGGGGATGGAGTCAAACCTTTGCTGATTACTCGGTAGGGTTTCTTTTAAAAATTTCATTTTGGTTTGCTCAAAGGTGCTAAAGAAAACCCTCGCCCTGGGAACTGGAGGAATGATGGGACAGGGCAGCTTGCTGTCTGAACTAAAAGCCAACCCTGCCAGCTGTTTTTCCTGCTGTGATAAAGTGGGATTCTTTCCCAGCTTTAGGTGACCTTACCTCTCCCTACACCCAGGAAAGGCCCTTCTTCATGGACAGAGCAGAAGAGACACCATGCTTAGAACTCACCATGGAGTGTGTTTAGCACTTCAATATAAATTTAAAGGATTTGAGTTAGACCCGAGCAGGAGAACATTTCAAGGCACCAAGACTACATTTCTTCTTCTTAGATATATAATACAGGAAGAAAGAGAACTGTCAAAGGCACATGGGTCTGGTCTAGCCAAGTCACTTTTCACTATTTAGGGCATGCTGCCACCTGAGGGAGGGAGGACCAGAGTGTACTGCAGGGGGCACGGATGCTCGGGAAACATTTAGGTGATGACTTTTTACCAACACAAAGAAGTTTTTCCTGCAATGTGACAAATCACATCTATTTTGTGCTTTCCAAAAGAGCCATTACAAAAATTCTTTAAAAAAAAGAAAACCAGTAGGACCAGAGCTGCTGGTGAAAAGCATTCTCCTCCTAAAATGTAAGAGACAAGGAAGGGGAGAAAGGCGTAGGAGGGAAGCTGGAGGAGGCAGGGTGATGAGAGGCATTCTAGCAAGGGGCATGACATCTCAGCAGCTACCTGGTGCTCTTGGCAAGTGTGATTTCACTCCTAGCAATGCACACGCCACCCACCATAGGCTGGAAAAGGGAAGGCAGTGTAGGAATTAAGTTTTCTTTGGGACCCATTTGCTGCAGCAGCACAAGACCAAGCTGTCAGCTCCACAAGTGGCTGGAACATGTCCAGCCTCAGCACTGGGCAGGGCATGGAATGTGCCAGGGGTTAGCTGCCTAGGAAGGAGGAATGTGACATGAGCAGGAAGCTCCTTACATCATCATTGTCACTGTCCATACTGCCCTTCTTCTTTTTCTTCTTCTTTTCATCCTCTTTCTTCTTCTTGTCCTTTTCTGGAATGACGTCGTCAAGAAAGCTTAAGTCATGCTGGGAAAAGAGGTAGTCCATGGCTTTTCTGACTGCCACCAGGGCCAAGATCTGCAAAGGAAGAGAGGGATTCCCAGTCACATTTTACCTCCCATTTGGAACACCGCATTCCTCTCAGTTCTGCTTCTAAGCCCACACTCCTGAATTCTGGCTGTAAATGAACATGCAAAGAAGGTGGGGAACACCTGGGACATCTCTCAGCTTGAGAGGTTGTGCTGTGACTGCCTTATTTCAGAAAAAAACAGAAGCAGTGGACACAAAACAGTATCATAATCACTCAGTACTCTTGTATTAGTAAACAAATAGAAAAAAATGAGCCCTTTCATTTCCTTTTGGAGGCAGGTTCATGGGACAGCCTGAGTATTAAAACCTCACCACTTGCCCAGTTGAACTCTTAGGAAACCAGACGAGTGCCAGTCCATGCCCCAGAGTTTGCAGAATAAAGTTGACTGGGATTGTGGCAGCAGGAAACTGGAGTAAAAGCTTGCTCTGTGCAAGACTGCAATGAAAGCACTGGGAAAAAAGGAAGGGACGTGTCTGAAATGGGTGCTTACACGGACACCGGGTCTGACACCACCAGCAGAGGCCATGACATCCCACAGAGGCTTTGCCAATGGGTCCATCAGCAGGCTGGAAGCTGTAACCTATTCCCACCAGGCTGCCTTTAAGGCCAGCTTTGTCCCAAGCAATCATGACCCACAGCACAAACAATTCCCAGGAACAGACCTCAAGCTTTGACTTGCGTAACTTAAGACGCGATGACAGAGGCGAGGAAATCCTCAGGGGTGGAAAGATGCCATGCAGACACCCCAGAGGATCCCACTATGAACCACTGTGCTGAAAATACTTTTCCTCCAAATAAACAAGGAGCTGGCTATTGGCCAAATCCTCACAAAATGAAGTTTGCGGTTTTTTGCTGATGAGGGCAGAAAATTGAGCTTTTGCCATCATATCCAGCACCATCAAAGCTGTGGCTGTGCCTTCCCTGAGTCTGCACCATTCTAACAAGCTTTCACAGTCTTGGATTTCACTCAGATTCTAATATGGGCAATGAGATTTTAGATTCAGCTTCCAACACCAGTGCAACACAGCCATGCACAGAGAATTGTGATGGAAAGCCACGTCAGTGGGAATTAATGATTTTTAACATCTTTTACAGGAGCACGAGTCTCAGCACCAACATTTCGAGGATGTTTTTACTTGCATCATCTTTTCTCATATCAACACCTTGTTCTTTACCTGGGTTCCTCCCTCCCTCCTTCTCTCCCTTAAATAAGCACTGCAGCTCCTACCTGCCCCCACAACTCAGATTTTACTTGTCCCTAAACTTGAAATTAGGTGATCTGGGGCCAAGATTTATTCAGGAGTTTCATAAAGCTTTGCCTTTGCACAAGTCTGACCCATCTCCAAGCCAGAGTGCCTAACAGTGTCTACAGCTCTAGTAATAACATGAATAATCACCCACTGATGGTTTAACAATATTAGTGTCTTTTTACTTGAGTTCAAGGAACAGAGACATTCCCTTCCCTTCCCTTTGGCACCCCTCTTAGCACTGAGCTTCCTTCTTGGTTTTGTCAATTTGTGCTATTTAAAAACCAGGAAGATATTTTATGTCTTGTAGCTGGGGTGGACTAAAACAGAGAAACGCTGCCCCTCTCCTTGGTCCATGCAGCTCAAGGAGAAACCACAGCAAATCTAACCTTGGCAGCCAGGAATAGTTAACACTAACTACACCTTCCTGGGAAAAAATTAACTTTCCAGGCTCATTTTTCTCCAGAGGATTTATGTAAAGGCAGCCATGGCCACACTGACCCCATGCAGTCCTACATGAGTGCCATGAGTGGAGCCCTGAGCCACAGACTCAGCAGGGAGAGGCTGGATTGACACATTTACAGCATTGTGCAAGCAGAGGAGGAGCAGGCTGTGGTGAAAGTGAGGCATGTGAAGGAGAGCATCACCTACCATGACAGGGAATATGATAGCAGCCACGGTGGATTTGAGGATCCAGAGGAGGGCCAGGCACACCACCTGCAGGAAGGTGAAGAGGTGGACCCTGCGCAGCGGGACGTGGCGCAGGTAGATAAAGTCAGGCTGGTGTTTTAGAGGCATCAAGAGCAGCTTCAGACGATCCATGAACTGGAAAGGAAAACGATGAGATGTTGAAATGAAACCCAGGATGCACAAAAGAGAGAAAACAATATGAATACCCAAACCAGGATCGGCATCACACTCTGGGGCATTTCCTCCCTTTCCCTGCTCCTGCTGAGGAAGACATTCAGCCTTCAGGAACAAGGCTTTTGTTTTCCCCAAATAAATCAGGAGCAGGGGTCAACGGGGGTGAGGGCAGACACTGCACTGCCAGAAAACAGAACAGCACCTCACCAAAGAGCAAGGAAGACAGGCAGCTTTCCCAGCAGTGGCCCTTTGCCCTGTGCTGGACCGGATGGACTTGGAGTTAAACCAAACGGGGCATTTCTCACTGAGTAAAGAACACTCCTGATCCCAGTCTCCCCACCACCTGGGTCGGGAGCAGGGGAAATCCCCGACAGGACAGCCAGCCCGGGGCCAGCAGGACAATCCCCTCGTTGTCCCCTGCCAGAGCGCGGGCTCCCTGCCCACTGCTGGGACCAGACAGAATCTGCACCAGTGAATGGAGGCTGGAGCTGTTTTACAGAACAGGAGGGAATTCTGGGGCTCACAGAACAGGCAGTCCTTCCCCTTAGGGCACAACCCAGCACGAAAAAGAAAGGCCACAATTAACAGGGTGCCAGAAAGCAACAAAACCACTTCCAGCCTCCTTGGGACAGCTACAGGAGCTGGGCAGGAGAATGGCTCCTTACATAAGATTTCCTCAACGGCACAGAGAGGGGCTTGGCTTCCCCTCCCTGGAGAACAACATCCCTGCTCCTTAGCATTGAGAAATAACCCCGCTGCCATAAATCATCCTGCTTGTTTGCCTTCAGTCTGTGGCAGAGGAGCCAAACTACCCTCGCAGTGAGCCCAAGCTGGGGCAGAAGCCTGTAGAATCCTGGAATGGTTTGGGTTGGAGGGGATCCTAAGGGGATCCTCTTGTTCCACCCCCTTGCCACGGGCAGGGACACCTTCCACCAGACCAGGGCTCTAAGCCCCATCCTGGTTGCCCCATATGGACCCAGGTCTTCACAAAGCACCCCCCAGCACCAACAGTGCCCACCTGACCACTCTGCCTTGGTCTCCCATGGCAGGACAGCCAGGCTTGTGGGTTTCTTGGCAAGGAAGAGGAGGCAGTGAAGGAGAAGGGTAAAGCTGGAGGGCTGTGGAAGAAGCCCTGTGCTGGTTAATGACTCACCTGCACACCGTTGAGGGATGCAACTCCCATGTAGAGGAAGACACCGTAGAGCACAGGCATGGGAATGAACTGCAGGACAAGAGCAGGAGAGCCCAGGTGAACAACCTCCCTGTACACCACACACTGTTAACACATGGTGGGACAGCATGCCCAGCTGGTCATCAGTTCAAACTGCACCCCTGAGTGCACGACACGGAGGAATGAAGCCACAGAAATAATAAAGCAAAATAAAGATGAATAAACAACAAATCCTTCTGCTGCGTTTTGAGAGACGCGAGGACATTTGTGCAATCACACTCTCCCACTTCACCAGGACTTGGACATCTTGTCAAGAACCAGAGGGAATGATGTCAGTCACTCAGCAAGTTAAGGAACAGGTGGGTAAATGTGTTCCAGTGAGCTTCAAGCTGCTTTTCACCTCTGATTTGTGGTGCCACCAGAAGCAGAAGGCAGAGAAGAAGAAAAGGCAGCACGACCCTTAGTTTGTGTTATACCCTGTTTTCCCAGACAACAGGTGACAGAACAAGAATAAACAGAGTCAAGTTGTGCCAGGGGAGGTTTAGGTGGGATATTAGGAAAACACGTTCAGGAAAGGGTTGTCAAGCCCTGGAACAGGCTTTCCAGAGCAGTGCTGGAGTCACCATCGCTGGAGGAATCTAAAAGCAGCACTTGGGGACATGGTTTAGTGGTGACTGGCAGTGCTGGTGGGACTAGGTGATCTTAGAGAGCCTTTCCAATTGAAACAATCCTGTGATTCCATGTTCAGTCCAGCTGGGTAAGCCATGCAAATCCATGCAGAAAGGCTGTTCTTTGGAGTCCTTCAGTGACAACAGTCATGCCAACCCAATCTCTGCCTGCTCTGTCTCTTACACACATTAATCCAGAACTACTCCCAAATACGGGACTGTAACTTCCCTTCTTCGTTGCCAGGATGTGTCCTTTCAAACATCACTTTCTGCTCCCTCCAAGTGCTAAGTGCTGCCCATTCCTCCACATCAGGCACATCTGCCTTTGGGACTGAGGAATGTGCAGGGGAGCACCAGACAGGCTCCCTGGAATGAGTCTCTGTCCCTCACCACCCAAGTGGGCAGCCAGCCTGGCATGTCAGAACAGGGATGCTTGGAACAAAGCACAGGTAGGAGCTGAATAACGGCCTTGGTGGGATTTACTGGTGCCCAGGGAGGATGGAGTGAGCTCCAAAGAATAGTCCCTCGTGCAGTGCCAGGGGGCTGCCACTGAATGGCAGCCACAGCCAGGCCATGGCACCCACTGTTCCTACACGGCACTGCTGCGCTGGGAACTCTCCCCTTCCAACCTTTGCACTGAGCTCATGAAAGAGGCAAATAACACGGCAGCTATCCAATGTTGCAGCACATTCCCCATCACCTTGTTCATCGTTTCCAGCAGGCATTTCCCTGGGGGCACACGAGCACCAAAGCCACCCAGCCATACACTATCCAAAGCCCCTCTGCCTGTACCTTTCCTTCCTTCCTGAGTCTCACTGCCCATCACCTCCTGCGAGCTCCTTAACTGCTGACTCGTCCTTCTCTTGGATTGATGTGCTCCTTTGACAGAGCTGTGCTGGTATTTCCCATTTGAAGGTAAATGCTTTTCTGCAGCGTGGGGTCTGCCAGCACCGTTGTGAGAGGGACGGGGACCCAAGTGGGTGGTTCACAAAGCTGTAGGTGACCATGGGATTCAAAGCCCTCACTGGATCTGAGGGATGAGACATGATACAATAGTAGCTACAGTAAGCAAGAATTGAGCTTTCTAGCTCATTTTCACTGCTCTCTTCTCCTCCCCATCTATTTATTTCCATGGGGTTTTTAAAAGTAAGAAACGTGTCTGAATATTATTTCACCCTTCCATGATGATTAATCCTGTAGATCACCCTGAGGTGAAACCTCAGTACCTGAGCCTGCAGAGCAGCAAGTGGTGCTGTCATTTTGGAAGACTTTCTCTTGGCCAAGTATTCCCTAACGATGGGAGTGCTGGCTTTGGTGCTCCAAGCAAAGCTGCTGCAGGCCAACAGCACTAAAACTGTATTTATAGGAAAGTGCCTGTCACCCTCCTAGCAGGGCCAAGGATGTTTCTGTGGAGATCTGCCTTGGCTGAGCAGAAACACCACCACCATCCAAAACCAGCACAACCACAGCAAAGCCCTCAGAAAACAGAGCTGGGATTATTCAGTGGATTGCCTGCTTTATTAAATTTGGGATTGTCAGCATTCAATTTGCCGCTGGCAGGAGAAGACTGAAATGTTCTGCAATGCGTTTAACAGTGCAGCTTTCTCCAGCAGGACCCTGCCACTGGAATTTGCTAAAGGTCCTGAAATCCTGCCAGGTCCTTCCTGCTGGCACGTGGGCCAGCAGCATGCTGACTTATCCTCAGGCGGCCTCCAGTGAGGATCTTCCCCACACATTGTCTTAGGGGAAGCACAGACGAATTATTATTGACTAAATCAATGACAGGGGAAGTAACAGACCCCAGTGGAATAGAGGAAGAGGGATCTTGCAGGGAAAAGTCACAAAACAGGATTATCCCAATCAGGCATTAAATTAAAGGCACGGAAATGCCTGTTTGTGTGGAGGTGGAACCTGTTACCCAAAACACCAAAATTCGAGCTGTACAAACAGCCTTAGAAACGAAGAACAGGAACACAGTGGCTTGGAAAGCCACTGTCCCCACTCCCTGCACAGGCGGCACCGCTGCTCCCTGCCGGCCTCCTCCCGTCAGGCTCACACTGCACTGTGCCCCACAGCTCCTGCAGTTTCCAAAAGCTCATCTGCAGCCTCCAGAGAGTCTCCTGCAGACACCCATGTGCTCGGTGCCACAGGTACGACGCTGCTCTGACATGCTCTGCTCGTACCATCAGCCTGGGGATCCATGGATCACAGCTCCTGCAGCTGACATCTCCTGTTGGACACCATGTCCGTGCTGGGCACCAATTCCATCACTATCCCCAGACAAGGCAGCATCCTCCACAAGACAGGCATAAGCAGGCTTTCCAGTTTCCTTCTACAGTCTGATGATCTAAGGATGCATTTCTCCATGGCTATGTGCCACCAAATTTCTGGTCTTGGACAATAACAACCTACCTAGATCAAATGGTCCATCAGCAGCACATCTGTCCAGAGCCTTGGCTAAACTCACAGGAAAAAAAGGTTCAGGAGATGAAGAAATGCCATTTAATTGCACTGCTTCCTCCAGAAACATGTTTTCCATACTCTGAGCTTTATCCAGAATATGTTTTCCATAAAACACAGGCCCAGTAGAGGTATAAAAGAAATCATAAAAGAAAAGAGAACTTAAATTTTAGGCAAACATGGAGAAATAATCTTAAAATTAAAAAGACCACAGTGCCCAAGAACCCCAGCCCTGAACTTGGTCGCTATTCTAGCACACTACAACCATGCTGGCGTTTCCTTCCAAAGGGTTTGGAGGAGAACTGTGAACAGTCCTTACCTTCAGGATGGGAGCCATGAACACAGACACCCCGGTCAGGATGAAAACAATGACTCCAGTGACTCTCTGCTCCCTGAAACAACATCACTGAGTCAGGACCACAGGTACTTAACACCAACAGGAGTCCTCAAAACTCATTTTTGCAGCCACAGTTTTAATCCAGCAGCATCAAGCAGGTGGCTGGATCCTGGCCAAGACCTCTCTTTGAAACCTCCTGATAATTTTATTACACTGTTTGGGGATCAACACAGCACTGCAACTGAGCCTGGGGCAGTGTGTTTACAGGTTAAACACTACAGAGTGTGCTGCAGCACTCCCAGGTCCCTGCACAGCTGCACTCTGAGCATGCACAGAGGCAATAAATCATCAGCCACACGTTGTGAGTCCTGCCCACAGCCGGGGAGATCATTCAGACCTTCATGGGGTGCTGAGCAGGTGCCTTCAGCAGCACCCACAGGGCTTCCCACATCCAAAAACACCTCGGCCAGTAATATTTCAGAACACTGAAAGTCAGGCCATAAAATTTCCATTTAGTTACCTAAACAAGCAGCCTGATTTCCAGGAGTAATCCAATCGGAAGCACTTCAAACCATTTAATTAAGGCAACCAAACACAGGAAAAAATGCTTCATTAAGTAGAGCTGGTTGCACTAGGTATGACAGGTGTGTACGTTTGACCATTACATTTGCTAAGGAATTTGTTTCATTTCCCTGGATAGAGAAATATGCAGGAAATTTATTTCCTTTAACACAGGAACACTGTGTCTGATGTGGCCAAATAAACTTTGGAAGAGTCACATGGGGGCTTGCCCAAGGAATTGGCTTTGGAAATAGGGAGAAAGCAGCACAAAATTCTTTGTACAAAAGGATTTTGCAGGCAACCATGGTAATGAAGTCTTCCTACCTCACTCCCAAAAACTTGGGCTGTTCTCCAGGGGCTGAGGTCTCTGTCTCCATCTTCAAGCTGTCGATGTGAGCGATGGAGATGACAGTGGCAGCCACGTACCAGGGCAGCCCCATAAAGGAGCAGACAATCATCAGAATGGCCACCCAGAACAAATCCAGATGATATCCAGCACCTTTCTGTGGAGGGAGACAAAGAACCTTCAGCTGAATTGTTCCAGATGCCTATGGAGCAGGGCAGAGGCACACCAGACAGGCAGCATTTCCTTCTGCAACACCCTGGCCAACAGAGCCAAACAGCAGAAATACATCAGATCTTGGGAACAGCATAAGGAAGCATCTCCCTCAGGACATAACCCCAGGCTCCTTCAGGAGTGCAACAAGAACAGTTGAGGTTTCATTCCCTACCCAAAGGAGAAAGCTGCCCTCATTCTTGACTCCCTTTCAAACACCTCTGATCCTCTATTTTTAAAATCCTTTAATGAAATAAAACAGGAAATCCAGCAGTCACAAGTGCCAAGAGAAGAAGTGAAGAAACAAAAGAGTCACCAAGAAAAGGGATCTTCAGAAAAACAGCGGACAAACCTCTAAGGTTTGCTATTTTAAAACAGATTAACCTTTATTAAATCCTATTCAATTTGATTTCATTGGAAAAAACAAATGATCCAAGCCTAGGATGACCCAGGAGGCAGAACAATCCAGCTTCTCTTGAATAGTCCTCACTGTTTTCCTCACACGTGTGCTGCTTACCTTGGCTGGCTGGTGGCACCGGGACGGGCACCCAGCAACACCCTGCCAACACTTCAGCAAGGAATGAGCAGAAAAAAACACCGTTTTTCCCACAGCACATCTTGTGCATAGAAGTGTTCTTTTGTGTGGAACAACAGGATGGGACTTGTGAACCCTCAGTTCCACAAAATACCATACTCACATCATAACAAAGGAAGCAGGGAATACATTTTTTTACATCAAACAGTACTTTGCTGGAGTGTTTATAACTTTGTTACTAAAAAAGTACAGCCAGTGCTGACAGCAAAACCACTTATGAACCATTCAGTGGCTCACAAGCTGCAGAGATGAGGGGCCTCTTCTTCATGAGGGAAGAGCGAATATTTTCTTAAATAAAGAAATTATTAAATTTAAGAAAATGCTATGTCTGCTTGGTTAGGTGCAGGACATAGATATAAAACTGTTTAGCTATCTCTGAGGAACACAAGAGCCCAGAATTGAATTTATCTGCCCAGATCCAGGAGGCAAACAAGGATGTTCCGAGCAGTTTTTTTAAACCCTCAGCCAGCAGTCATCACTGTGCACAAGAAACCCTTCCCATGCCTTGGTACTTGACTCTCTCCTCCAGGCTGGGCTCAGGATGGTCTTCAATTACACGGTACTTGTCTCATGTTTACAGTGATCACATGAATTGAAATATCCTCCTCTTTTCCAAGCAGAAGCTCCCTTCCAATTTCCCACAGCTCTCCCAACAACTGGCGAAGCAGGTATCTAAATAAAGACCCACTATCACCTATGTTTTGAGGGAGCCATTACTCCCAGACCACTTGAAACATGCCCTGTTAGCAGGAAGGGAGAGTCTTCTTTTACAGGAATCTAATATTTTTCAATAGAACTGACCGTGCAGGGAAAGGAAAAAAACCTTACAGGCACCAAAAACTGCATAGCACTGGTCTGGAAAGTTTGTTTTAAAAACATGACTACATCTTAGGCTGTTACATATCAGCTCTTCTTTAAATAACAACCAACTGGGGCTATGCCCTTGGTATGTCCCAGATCTCTCCAGCTTATTGCTCATACGTGACAGCACTGTGCAGCTTTGGCCACAAAGCCACTTTTCCTGCTTAGAACCAGCACCAGTGACAGGGAATCAGCTCGTGTCCACGAGGGAGGAAGGTGGCAAGAGCAAAAACCAAACCCTGCAGGTGCTCCAGGCACAAGGCACACCCACCTTGAGCTTGTGCTCCTTCCTGTTGACAATGACAGCGGTGATCTGCTGGTCCATGAAGATGAGGATGGTCACCAGCAGGGCAGGGATGGCTGCTGCCAGGTACACCCACCACGGGTTCCCTCCAAAAGGTGGGATAAACCAACCCCTCTCGGGACTGGTTGGCTTGGAAGGGCAAGGAAAAGAAAGCTTGTGTTAGAGGTGATGACATCCCAAAGCCAGGTTTGCTTCCAGCAATGGAGCTCCAGGGAGACACCTCAGGTCTGTGGCAACTTCATCCTTCCCACTAACACCAATCAAAGGTTCCAAGTATGGAGGCAAAATTTAGGAGATAGATCAGCCAATTAAAATGATGCTATCAAAAAGCATCCTAACCTTCTGAGCACACCAGCCCTTTCCAGACCATACACTACATTCCCCTTCTGAGGGCAAGTCCTTCCACATGGGGCAGGTGTGAAGGAAAAGGAACCTCTCCCAAAAGCCAGCAAACAAGCTGACAACAACATACCTTGAATTCACTTGGCACAATTAGTTTTGGTGTGTCCACACCAACCAGGGCATCTATTCCACAGAAAATCAAAATGGACAGGATAATGGCAAAGTCACTGATGAGCTTCCGGGCCTGAAAGAGATGTGGTGTCACAACCACAGGAGTTAGCACCACCAAACACCATTTCAGCCACGCTTCAGTGTCTACATGAGAAACCCTGGCAAGACAAGCTCGTTGTTTCTTCTCCCACAGATACACCCACCATCATATCCAGTGTCATTTGCCACACATGCCTTGGTACTTCACTGTGTTTTCTGAACACCTAAATGGAAGCATGAAAACAACACAAACTTCCACAAAAGAGATAGTCTAAAGGACTGGCAGAGATTACGTTGTTTGCTGTTCAAGTAATAAGTCAAACTAAGGAAAACAGAATATGCTTCTCAGCTAAATCCCTAAGACTGCAGCTCTCCTGAAGGCATTGGAATACAACAACTGAGAGCTGCCACTGATCAGACCCCAGAATTTAACCAGACAGGAGCCACTGGGCTAGCCTGGAACTGTGTGAGCTTTCCAGAGCTGTTGTTCCTTCCAGGTTTCCTGGGTTTGCATGGTTACAGATAAATTGAGCTGCATTCCAGCCTGGATGGAATTTGTTTCCCTTTTATTAAAAATAAGAGAGGTTCAATTGTAACACAGTGGAACAGTAAACATCCATGCAGGATAAATCCCTGTGTGTCAGAATGCCAGAAACGGGGCAGTCTCAGAGAGAAATGGCTTTGGCACACACAGGAAGCCCTGGGAGCCTCAGCAGGGGACAGAACAAGCAGATGCACCTGAGAGGTGCCTGTAAGCTTGGAAAGGTTGCCCTCAGCACCTTTACAATCCCTGCCACATCACCCAGACAGTTCCCAGCTCCTCTCGGCTCTTCTGCTGCCTTACCTGTGCCCTCCAGAAGCACTGGGAGCAATCCCAGGCATACCTTTGATAACCAGATCCAACAACCAGCTGCACTTTTATCTCAACCAGTGCAACCCGGCTCCCTGCAGAGCATCCCTCCCTGTGTGCAGGATAGCAACTCCAAAAGGAAGGCTGACCTGTGCCCTTGGAAAGACTGATGGGCTGCCAGGAGATACTTACCGTGGTGGGAAAGTAGCGACTGGTCTTGAATTTCTTCAGGGCCATGGAGCAGGTGTAAGTGCCAAAGAAGAGGATGAAAGACATGAGGGTGATGTCAGGGACATAGTCACAGTTGTTGCCCACAAGCTGACCCCCATACTTCAAACAATCCTTGGCCGTCAGAGCTGCCCAGTCAATGGTGGTGTTGTCCTGCACAAAAACAAGGCAATGTTTCCATAAGGCTGGTGCTGTGTGCCCATGTCGGGACAGGAATGATGACAGGGGATCTGAGAGGAACAGGGAGGCTTCATGCAGAAGCTAAAAATCATGGAATCATACAAGGGTTTGGGTGAGACCATTTTCCTGCTGGTGTTTGACTACAAGGGGTTGTTACTCTGTGTTTCTCCTTCCTTCCCCCATACACTGATGTGATCCATCAAACTCCACTCCTTCCTCCTCATACCCAGAGCTTGCCAGCAGAGTGGCACCGTGAGACTCTGCAGTCCATGGGATCCCTGCCTTCCCAAGGGGAACTCACCAGCTCGGAGGAGGGAGAGACCAACTCATCGTCTGCCAGCACCATTGTCCTGTTAAGTAATGAGCTATTAACTGCAAGAGAAAAGAAAAAAGGCAATATGGTGAGCAGGATGCAGGAAAGAGTTAGGAAGGAGAGCCAATTCCAATTATTAAATAATCTCTTGACTCTGTCAAGCTATTTGCCACCTCTTTGCTCCAGTAAAGTGAGTCACAAGTGTTTCAGAGAGACTCAAAAGCCTCAATCATGAATCACTCACAAAACAGAAAAAGAAAAGGTTAAGCGAAACATAACCCAAACCCAACAGGGATTATATTTTGAGTTCACGGTAAAAAAAAAACAACACAAAGAACCAGACAGACAATATAATATTTCATAGCTTTCCAATATTTTTCTAATGATTTCTGGATTAAATTAAATACCCACAGAACTCCTAATGATTAATTTCAAATGCAAGCACAATGCCAAAGATATCCAGAAAAGCAAAATGCATTTCTGTGTCCAGCATAAATACAGTTTTGAATTAAAAGAAAGAAAAAAGAGAGCAAGCAATCGAAATCAACAGGATGGGGATAATTTCTTTGAAAGAAGGAGCAGCATTCCCTGTTGCTTCTGCAGCATTAGGAATCATGAATTTGAAATTTCATTTAGAAATGCAATCCTTCCTGCAAATGGACTCGTGGCCCCGGTCCTCATGGATTACTGAGGTTTTGCATAAATGAACTCTTTGCACTTGGATGTCTGAAAACCACAAGTGTTTCAATGGGAAGTGGAGACTTCCAATTTGGCATTGGCTATTCCCATCCTCCTAGTTTCAAAAAGGAAACCACTCTGCCATTCCAGTGGAGGCAGAACCAGACCAGCATCCATGTGCACACCAAGATCCTGTGTTTAATAGGGAAGGCAGGCACACAGCCCCCAGGGAACCGGCTCCCAACACCTGCAAGGAGCAGCCAGCAGCCCTTCCTGTGGGCCAGGTGTGCCAAGATAACCTGCAGTTCACTTCAGGCACAGATCAAGTTACTTAATCATTCCCCATTGTTTGTGGGATCCTAGGAGTGGTCCCTAAGGTACAGCCAGTGTCTCTCAGTGTAGGTGTAGAAGAAGAGATTACAAGTGACCTCACCCCGATAAAGTCACAGTGGTACTAATTATTGAAGAAGAGGAACAGCCTTGCCCTTAATGGGTCACTGAGACTAATAAAGATAAATGTGAGATAAAAGGGGTGAGTTGGCTGGTCAGGAGGAACCTGGAGGAAGGATCCAGAGAGACACAAAGAAGAACAAACAAAGAAAGAGAGTTGCTGCTGTAAAAGATCTGCTGTGAGGTCAGTCTGGGTGTGATGGAGTCAGAGCCTGCAGTTGGACCCTACAGGAGGAGCTTGCTGTAATCAGAGTCAGGATGGCTAAGCTGTAAAGAAGAATAAACCAGAAACTTTTTCACACTGTTAACGAGAGTCTGTGTCTTGGTTCATTTCTACTCTCTAACGAGAGGTCTATTGCAACATCTCAGTTTGGATTTGGGGTTTGTAACCCTTTGTTCCCAGAGCCATAGGTACACTGGCTCTACCTGCCACACAGCCACGCTCCACAGATAGGCTGCCCTGTAGATACACTTCCCTTCTTGGAAGGGAAGGAATTGTTTGTGCTTTCCCTCTCATCCATGCAACCAGGAGGTGGAACCACCCATGTTTGGGTAAC